CATTGACGGGCTCACTTGAGATCCAGGTCATGAATTTAGAGAAACCGGTTATTGTGGCCCCAAAATACCACGCACAGGATACAATACGACTTGGTTAAAGATTCACACAGTCCATTAACATTTTCTGAAGACGCAAATCTACACAATCCTCTAGGACTAGGTGAAATGGAAGGAGCTGTGATTATTATTTGACCTCAGCGCCACCTCGTGGTGAAATCGCGTAAGGGCCAAATTAATGCAAAGGTGGTAGAGCCGCAGAATTACCACGCACGAGGTCGCCCTAATCTGAGCAAAGATGAGATTGTGTGGCTTGTTCCTCTACCTGTTTAGGAAATTCTCCTGGAAATTAGTATTTATCTGAGCATTTATCATAGCATTGGCTTAGCTTATTTGTCCACAGGTGTGACAAATTTCCCACTTTTAGAAAAATGTATTGTTAACTCTTTTCAGTAATAAGCTTTTCCTTTTCCCTTCAGATTCAGAGTCTTTGTCTCTTTATCTGTTCCTGAAAGATCTGAAGGGTGTTGTGCTTGAGATAAAAGTTCTGTAAATGGTGTATTTGGTACCTTCTCCAAACAGATTTCAAAACATCTTAAATCTGGCAGCAAGGGAAGTGTGAAATATTTTCCTGATTTTATCCCAAATGTTTGTTGCTAACTCTTCCTATAATTAGCGAGATTCTTCCACTTTATTTCCCCTATAACTGTAAATGAGGTTCAGATCAGTTTTTTTTTTTTTTGATTGGCACCCGAGCTAATGACTGTTGCCAATCTTCCTTTTTTTTTTCCTGCTTTTTCTCCTCAAATCCTCCTAGTACATAGTTGCATATTTTAGTTGTGGGTCCTTCTAGTTGTGGCGTATGTAATGCTGCCTCAGCATGGCCTGATGAGTGGTGCCATGGCCAAACCCAGGATCCAAACCTGTGAAACCCCAGGGCTGCCTAAGCAGAGTGCGCGAAAGTAACCACTGGGCCACAGGGCCAGCCCCTCAGATCAGTTTTCATGGAATAGATTGTTAAAGTCACTTTTCTTACACTGTTTCGTTTTCCACCTAGACTATGTTAGAATCCCAGGACCACAGGGCTGGCTCACTTTGCCTCTGCTCTTCGGATGACCATTCCCAATCTCAGAGGTCAGGAAAGTTACTCAAGGTGATAGATACCTGACAACGCAGAATTAGCACATTATAGATCTAGTTCTTAAAATCTAATGGTTATTTCCTTAAGATGAGGACATTTTTTGATACATTTCTGATATTGCTCATAATCCACGAGGCTTTAAAAATTGCAACACACTCTTCCTTTATCCCGGTTTGCAGCTGTTTTATCGAGACACACATACCTTTCAGGGGATTTAGGAGGGAGATTGTGGCTATACTAAGTGGACATTTAAATTTGGGTTTTTAATATTTGGTACATGGATGGAAAAGCATTAAAATGGAAATTCTCTTGTGACAAAACACATGTTTTACAATAAGGAAAAGTGAGTTAATGTTGACTTTTTCTGACATAGAAATCATATTATTTGTCTTTGCGCATACATTTACCACTTCTTGTGGCCTTCATTTCTTTCAGTGGACCCAGATTTCCATGTATTATTATTTGTCTTCTGACTGAAGGACTTCCTTAACCCTTCTTGTAGTGAAGTCTATCGTTGATGAATTCCTTCTCTTTTGTATATCTGGAAGTCTCTACTTCATCTTTGTTTTTGCTAAGTCAAATTCTAGGTGGACGATCTTTGTTTGAGTACTTCAAAGATTTTGCTCCACTGTCTTATTGTTTCTGATGAGAAGTTGGCTATAATTTTTATCTTTATTTCTCTGTAGATAAAGTACATTTTCTTTTTGGCTGCCTTTAACATTTTCTCTTTATCCCTGCTTTTGACCAGTTTGTTATGATGTATATTATAGTGAAATTTCTTGTATGTATTTTGTACTTGGGGTTTGTTGGGTTCTTGGATGTGGATTTACAGTTTTCATTAAATTTGGGGAAAAATGGCCATTAGTTCTTTAAATATCTTTTTTATCCCTTCTCCTATTCTATTCTTTAAGGATTTCGGTTACTCATATGTTAAGCTGTTGAAGTTTTTCCAGAGCCCATTGATGCTATGTGTATTTGTTTTCAGTCCATCTTTTCCTTCATTCTTCATTCTAGATAGTTCCTATTGCTAAGTCTTCAAGTTACTAACCTTTTCAGCTGCAGTGTCAAATCTTCTGCAGTGTCCACTTTTCTGTTAATCTGCCATCCAGTACGTTTCTCCTTTCAGTTACTGTATTTTTCATCACTAGAATTTCAACTTGAGTCTTTTTTTATAATTCTATACCTCTATTTACCATTCAATCCTGTCTCTACTTTCTCTAAAGTAAAGTAAATATTTAAAATATTTAAAATAGTTATAACAATTTCTATGTACCCACTTACTAATTCTATAATCACTGCCATTTTTTTGTGTTGATTTGAATTGCTTTTTCTCCCTATATTGTGGATTTGTATTCCTGCTTCTTTGCACACTTGATAATTTTTGATTGGAAGTTAGGTATTGTGAATTTTACCTTATTTGCTGGGTATTTTGCATTACTATAATTATTCTTGAGTTTTGCTAGATGGGTAACTAAATGTTGTTAGAGCAGTATTTATTTTTGAGCAGTATTTAGCTTTTGGTTAACTTTTCCTCACTACTGAGGCAATGCATTTCTGAATACTCTACCCAGTGCTCTGTGAATTATGAGGTTTTCTATTTTGCTGAGTGAGAAACCCAAACTGTTTCAGGTTGTGTGTGAGTTACAGTGGTTGCTTCCTCTAATATCACTAATCCTGCATGATGTCTGAACCATACTCAACATCCTAAAGATCTCGACTCTCCACAAGTCAGCCTATATATTAAAGAGTTCCCAAGTAAAATTACTAACAATATACTTCTAACTAGAGAGTTTGTTCATATTGAAAAATAAGTATGCAAAACATGGACCAGTAAGTTTGAACAAAAAAATGGAAGAAAGTGTTACCAATATTAAAATATAGCATGTAGCTACAATAATTACAAAAAAGTGTTGTTAGCAATAGAATAGACGTATCAGTGAGACTGAACATAAACCCCTGAAATAGAACGTAATAGATATGAGATTTTGGAATGAGGTTAAGGTGGTCTCTCGAATTAGTGGAAAAAAATAAAGAACTATTTTTCTTAATGTCTCAGTTTTCCTGTGAGTGCACCCTGCTTTAATTTTCCACTGGATGATACAGGGGGCCTTGGGATATGAGTCATCTTATGGAATTAAAAAAATCTTTTATTACAGAAAATTTTATATATATATAAATATATATACTAATTAATATGCATATTGATTAAGAAGGGAAAAGTATGGCTGTCTGGGGACCAATCTTCTCTTGTTTGATCATCACACCTTCCCCCCGGTATCTCTCCAGTAGAGTGAACGCAAGGCTGCGTTGCCGGAGTTGTATTTCTCGGTGGAATATTTGGGAAGCAAGCCCAATTTGCTCTTGTTTTAAATCAGGTGGGAGAGACTCAGTGGCTTAGCCTCAGCATTCCCTGGCCTGAGGCTGCAGGGGGTGCAGCTCCTCCACCTGGTGATTCCTGAGACCTAGGAACTTTGATTGGTAGCTGGGCCTTCATGCTAACTGGGAAACCTGCATGAACTGAGGGCTATTCTCCTGGCGTTATTTGCGTTTCTGTGGTCAGAACAGAAAAAGGAACTGTGATAACAGCAAAGCCACAGAAACATTGGGGTGAGTTTTATTTTTGTGAGCATGTGCTTACTTTGCATGATGACTACAATTCCACTTTGAAATCAAAGGGAATGTTGCCATGAAGCACATGGGATCTTGCAAAGTGCTTTCTCATTGATCTGGTCTTTGCCTGGGACAAGCACAGTGCTAGGGATGGATTCAGGGATGGAGAGGGTGTGGTCTCAGTCCTTGGGGATCTTTATACTTTCAATATTTACTGAACATCTACAGTGTACCAAATACCATGCTAAGAATTCTAGAGAAGATGTATATCCACTCTTCATTTTTTCTATCTATAATCATTGAATGCTATTTTTTGGAGGCTCTTCAGTAAGCACTGGAGATGTAGTGGTAGCAAGATGTAATCTCTGCCCTCAGGAAGCTCACGTTTTGGTAAGGCAGATGGTCACATAAAACAACTACAATTCAGTGTGAAAAGTACTGTGATTCCAAAATATCCTGAAAGAAGAGGGCCATGGACTGGAAGGGCCTGTGAACTGTGGAGATGGATTTCCTGTCTCTGGGACGACTCCAATGTTTCACAGAGGATGGGAGCTTATGTTCTCCTGGGATGGGCTGGGAGTGGGATTCATGGCATCTACGTGTGATGTCAGTATTATCTTCATGCTATAGTTTGGACCTTGAGACTCTGAAAGGCTAAAGAGCTGTCTAAATATCACATAGATGCTACTTAAAGAAACCTGGATATAAACCCAGGAGTCCAGACTGGTAACAGTGCTTTCTTCCATGAATGGCTTCTTGGTAAACTTCCCCAGCTGATTTGAGAGTTTAGGATTGTCTCTGCCCTCCATTTGTCTCTGCAATTGTACATTTTATCAGTGATTTCCTTCTGGCTCATGGTAGCCCTTAATCTTCTGAGCCTGACCCCAATCCCTGCAGGAACGAAGGTTTGTGGCATGAGTGGATGTCATGTGCCTCTTAGTCTCACGTGCCCTGGAGTCTCACTGTACAAGGGGCTGTGTTGATACACACAGACCTCAGTCACCTTGGAGAAAGTCCAGCATGGACAAGACTGTCTGCAAATCAGTCAGTGCACATTCTTTTTTTTTTTGTTTTTTGGAGGAAGATCAGCCCTGAGCTAACATCTGCTGCAAATTTTCCTCTTTTTGCTGAGGAAGACTGACCCTGAGCTAACATCCATGCCCATCTTCCTCTACTTTATTTGTGGGATGCCTACCACAGCATGGCTTGCCAAGTGGTGCTATGTCCGCACCCGGGATCGGAACTGGTGAAGCCTGGGCCACCAAAGCAGAACGTGTGCACTTAACCGTTGTGTCACCAGGCCAGCCCCTCAGTGCACATTCTTGGTAATGCCTGAAGTGTTGGAAGGCTGGGATGCAGAGAGGCTTGTGTCAGAGCAAGAGTGGGCACTCTGAGTGGAGGGGTGGTTTATATTTCAGTAGCTACTGAGGACATATGATTAGAGCAAATGAAGGTACCAGTAAGGAGAAGAATTGTACATGAATTGAGCTGGATCCTAGAAAGAGACAAGATCATCCAGTGACCAGGCGTAGAAGGAGAAAATTAGGAGGAGAAAGTAGAAATAAGAGGGGGTGCTGAGTGTCAAGGGACATTTCTGAAGATTGTGAAGGGAAGTGGAGATGTGAAAGTACCATTCCACAAACCAAGGATGGAAAGAGAGCAAAAGGAAGTGGCATGAAGGAAAACTGCAGGCAAAAGGCAAAATCATTGAAAGGCAGCAGAGAGACATGTAACATGGAGAGAGCAACACTATCCTTGTACCCCACATCATCCAATGAGGCATTTATTTCCCAATAGATCTCCTCTCCTCTGGTCTGTTTCTACTAGTCCTATGTTTACAAAAAATGACTTTCCTTGTAGTTGACTAACATTCCTGATGATTCCCCATTGTCTGTCAGATAAACCCTAGAGTCCATAACAGTCCTTCAAGAATTGGTACTAGACTCTATCTCCAGGTTTATCTTTGTGATTCTCTGGTTTACTCCAGCTACAGATGGATGAATTTTTATAGCTTTGTATACTCTGCTGCCTTTTTGGAATGCTCTTCCCTTTTTATACATGTAACTAACTCCTATTCATTTGTCAATTTGCAACTCGCAAGCTTTTCAGATATGCAAGGGATTATTATGTAATTCACCCAATGAATGAAGGAGTCTTTTATTTTGTATTTTCAGATCACTCCACTCAATTACTGCCTCCTGGTGGTGACCATATGGCTAACACATACAATGTGACTGAATTCATTTTTCTGGGACTTTCTCCTAATCAGGAGGTGCAGACTGTTTGCTTTGCGCTATTTCTGCTCTTGTACACAGCAATTGTGCTGGGGAATCTCCTCATTGTGCTCACTGTCATGACCAGCAGAAGTCTTGGTTCCCCCTTGTACTTCTTCCTCAGCTGCCTGTCCTTCGTGGAGATCTGCTACTCCTCTACTTCAGCCCCCAAACTCATCTCAGATTTGCTGGCTGAAAGGAAAGCCATACCTCTGTGGGGCTGCATGACACAGATTTTCATCATCCACTTCTTTGGTGGCACTGAGATGTTCCTGCTCACTGTGATGGCCTATGACCGTTACGTGGCCATCTGTAAGCCTCTGAACTACACTACCATCATGAACCGGCAGGTGTGTGCTATCCTGGTTGGAGCAGCATGGGTGGGGGGCTTTGTGCATTCCTTTGCCCAAATCCTTCTCATCTTCCACTCGCCCTTCTGTGGCCCCAATGTGATCGACCACTATTTCTGTGACCTGCTTCCTCTGCTCAAACTTGCCTGCTCTGACACCTTCCTCCTTGGTCTTCTGATGGTTGCCAATGGGGGGTCTTTGTCTGTGGTCAGCTTTGTGGTCCTCTTAATCTCCTATGTGGTCATCTTGGTCCATTTGAGGTCTCGAAGCTCTGAGGGGCGGCGCAAGGCTCTCTCCACTTGCGGGTCCCATATCACCGTGGTTTCCTTGTTCTTTGGGCCCTGCATCTTCATCTATCTGAGACCTTCTACGACTCTGTCTGTGGACAAGATGGTGGCCGTGTTCTACACAGTGATCACTCCACTCCTCAACCCTGTCATCTACTCCCTGAGAAATGCAGAAATGAAGAAGGCCGTGAAGAGGCTGTGGATCAGGACAATGAATCTAGATGAGAAATAGAGGCCAAGTCTTGGTATTGATCCCTGGGTTTAGAATGATGCTGAGTCCAAACTGATGGGGCAGAATGGGATGGAGAAAAGTTCACATTACTTGTTAGTTCTAAAGTTATTTTAACTGGTTCCCATCTTCAAAAACTTTGTTCTAATCACTTGTAAAATTTTTCCTCTTATGGGTGTACTATGCCTTAATTAACCATTTTCTGTTAGATGTTTAGGTCATTTCTATTTTTTTACTACTATAAGTAAGTCTGTGGTGAGATTCTTGAATAGAAGAAACCTTTTGCTTCTGATTTTCTTTCAGACTCACTTGCTACAGTAAATTTACTATTTTAAAATCTATAATGACTTTATGAATAGTGTTAAATTTATTCTTATAAAAGTTGTAATAATTCACCTTCCTTTTGAAAATGCTCTTGACAGAATTGAACAGTCATTAAAATTTTCTTGATGAGAAATGAGATTTGGCATAGTCTCAAAATATCTTCCCACAAGATGCTTATTAATTGTGAGAGGAAAAATATAAGTCTACAATGGAGAAACATGGAAGACACTTCCTTAAACAGTTACTCAAAGTCAACATCGTCAATATTGAGACTGGAGAGGCATGCAATACTCTGATATTCTTACCCAAAATACATAACCTGAGTCTAATAATGACAAGATATCAGGCAAACCTCAATTGAAGAACATGCTGCAAAATTACTAGCTTGCATTCTTCAAAAGTAGCAAGACAAAGAAATTGAAGAACTTTTCCAGATTACAGATAGATGATAACTAAATGCAACCTGTGATCCTTGATTAGATCCCATACTAGATGAAGGTCATTAGTGGGTGAAAACACTGAGATGAGATAATAGCATTGTGGCAAAGTTAATTTCCCGATGTTGATAATTCTAGTGTGTTTATGTCAGAGAATGTCCTTGGATTAAGGAATTATTTACTAAGGTATTTAAATGTAAATGATGATGATGTCATCAAATTTCAAACCTTTTAATTAAAAATTCTATCTACCTCTCTATCCATTTGTCAACTGAGAGAATGAATAATAAAGAAAATGTGGTAAAATATTAATATTTCGGAAATTTGGATTAAAGGTATACAAGAATTCTTTGTATTATTATTACAACGCTTTTGTAAGTCAGAAATTATTTTGAAATATAAAGTTAAAATATTTTACAAGTTACATAGACATGTTTAATTTGCATTTTTTGTGAGTGAGGAGGGTTTTAATGTTCAATTAGCTTTGAGTCTTATATGCAAAGTTTTCAATGTTCAAACCTTTATATTTCTGCACAGTAAAATCTATCAGTTTTTTCTTTGATTCTGCCACGTATCTGTGTTTAGATTATTTTGCGTGATTAGTTAAATTTATATTTTCTTTTAAAAATACTTAAATTTTTAATTTAATTTTGTGCAATGGTGATATATTCATAAGGTTTTAAAAAATCAACAAAATAAAAAGGCACACAAGTACAAAATTTCATTCCATTTCTTTCCCCATATGGAAGTTTCCCCTTTCCCATGTCCCCGCTGGATAAGCGGTTTTCTGTTTCCTGTATTTTTTGGAGTTTAATGAAACACGAGCATAATATACATGCTTTCATTTATCTCTACCTTTTGTACGAACAATAACATAGTAAGTAAACAGATCTGAAACTTGCTTTATTTGCCTAATATATCTTGGAGATTTTTGTATATTAGTACAAGGAAAACTTCCTTCTGTTTTTCTTACAGTTTTGTGGCATTCATTGAATGGACGTACCATCATTTCCTTAAGTAGTCTTCTACTGAAAGATATTTGGATTGTTTCCAAATAGCGTTACAGTGAATAACCTTGATTTAAATATATGCTTCTAAACTAGGATTTATCTCCGGAAATGAAACTGCTGGATTATATGTATGCATGTTTAATTTGATAGATATTATCAAATTACCCTTTTTAGCAGTTGTATCTATTTGTATTCTCACCTACAATTCTCTCTTTCCTGTAAAACATTTTATTAAATTTGGGATTTTGCTTATATGATAGTTGAAAAAATGGGAGATAAATAATTTTAATTTAAATTTCCCTTATTTTAAGTGAAGTTGAACATCTTTTCATATATTTAAAGTCCATTTGCATTTTCTGTAAACTTTTCCTATCATTTTCCCATATTTACATTATGGTTCTTTTTATTATGTTCCAAGACCTAATTATATACATATAAATTTGTCCTTTCTGATAGGAATTGTGGACTTTCCCTCTGGTTTGTCCTTGGCTTTCTGGCCTTGTTTGTTGCATCTCTCTGATACACAGCGGTCTTTGGATTATGTAGTTAGTCATCATCATGTTCCTTTATGTCTTCTAGAACAGCCAGACCACCGCGGTTCTTATTACGGAAGCTTTATGAATGTTTTAATATCTAGAAGGCTAGTTTCTTCTCTTTCAAAGTCTTCTGGGCATTGTTTCTCCATATAAACTTCAGATTTAGTTTACTTCTCTTCTTGTTCTGTATCCCCCAAAGAACTTATTATTATTTTGATTGATGCCACATTACATTTATAAGTGTATTTAGAAAGGATCAATATCATAATAATCTTTCCATCTAAGACCATGGTTTGTGTTTTCATTTGCTGAAATCTTCTTTTGTGTTCTTCAACAGAGTTTTAAAGTTTTTAATAAATCTTTAAAAATTGTATTCTTTTATTTTCTGGCTGTTTGACAAATAATTGACATATAACATTGTGTGAGTTTAAGGTTGTACAGTCTGATGATGTGATGCACATATACATTGATAAATGATTACCATAATAGGGATAGTTAATATCTCCATCACCTCACATAATTCCCACTTTTTTGTGTGATGACAACATTTAAAATCTACACTGAGCAGGGCTGGCCCCATGGCCAGTGGTTAAGTTCACGCGCTCCGCTGCAGGTGGCCCAGTGTTTCATTGGTTCGAATCCTGGGTGCGGACATGGCACTGCTCATCAAGCCATGCTGAGGCAGCGGCCCACATGCCACAACTAGAAGGACCCACAATGAAGAATACACACTATGTACCGGGGGGCTTTTGGGGAGAAAAAGGAAAAAATAAAATCTTTAAAAAAAAAATCTACACTGAGCAACTTCAAGTATATAACACGATATAATTAACTATAATCACCGTGCTGTACATGATTTCCCCAGAACTACATCACAGATTCTTTCTTCTGCCTGATTAACTCTGATGCTGATGTTCTCTATTGCATTTTTTTTCTTGTGGAGCAGTTCTGTTGACAATGAATTCTTTCAGCTTTTGTTTATTTGAGATAGTATTTTATCTAAAAGTCTGAAAATGCATTTTTCTTTTAATTCATTGTAGTCCTCAGCTCCAGTTTCTGTTTGGTTAGCTTGATTGTACTCACAATGTACTCGTATATCAGGATAGCACATTGTATAACTTAAAAAATACAACTTTTACCTGTTAACCATACTTCAATAAAACTGGAAAAATTAAAATAAGCCCACTGTAGGTTATTTTTATCACCTTTCTAAGTAAACGGTGTGTGTTTGCGTGTGTGTTTGTGTGTGCTTGCGTGTGTGACAGTAAGATCAGGAGGTATGATGTGAAGCAGAAGGAAGAGCTCGCTCACGTTCCTTCAGGCCAGCAGAGACGCACGCATGTGCTGTTGTTTTTATGTCTTCATTCCTTTCCATCAGGATGGGCCCCAATCTGCTTCTATGCTCTGCAGTCATGCTGCTTCTTTGAAGTTCTTTATCTTTGGCCAAATAAATTATTAAACAATGGTATAAGTATGGCCTTTTCCTCCTAATATAGCCCATCTGAAATACGGCAAGAACTCCAGCCTTTGTTACTCCTGAAAGTTCTTCCCTGGTTCTGGATGTTAGCCAGCTGTTAATGATACAGTGAATTTGCAAACTTTTTTCCTTCTGTGGGACTCTGTCTGTGACAAGATGGTGGCCGTGTTCTACACAGTGATCACTCCACTCCTCAACCCTGTCATCTACTCCCTGAGAAATGCAGAAATGAAGAAGGCCGTGAAGAGGCTGTGGATCAGGACAATGAATCTAGATGAGAAATAGAGGCCAAGTCTTGGTATTGATCCCTGGGTTTAGAATGATGCTGAGTCCAAACTGATGGGGCAGAATGGGATGGAGAAAAGTTCACATTACTTGTTAGTTCTAAAGTTATTTTAACTGGTTCCCATCTTCAAAAACTTTGTTCTAATCACTTGTAAAATTTTTCCTCTTATGGGTGTACTATGCCTTAATTAACCATTTTCTGTTAGATGTTTAGGTCATTTCTATTTTTTTACTACTATAAGTAAGTCTGTGGTGAGATTCTTGAATAGAAGAAACCTTTTGCTTCTGATTTTCTTTCAGACTCACTTGCTACAGTAAATTTACTATTTTAAAATCTATAATGACTTTATGAATAGTGTTAAATTTATTCTTATAAAAGTTGTAATAATTCACCTTCCTTTTGAAAATGCTCTTGACAGAATTGAACAGTCATTAAAATTTTCTTGATGAGAAATGAGATTTGGCATAGTCTCAAAATATCTTCCCACAAGATGCTTATTAATTGTGAGAGGAAAAATATAAGTCTACAATGGAGAAACATGGAAGACACTTCCTTAAACAGTTACTCAAAGTCAACATCGTCAATATTGAGACTGGAGAGGCATGCAATACTCTGATATTCTTACCCAAAATACATAACCTGAGTCTAATAATGACAAGATATCAGGCAAACCTCAATTGAAGAACATGCTGCAAAATTACTAGCTTGCATTCTTCAAAAGTAGCAAGACAAAGAAATTGAAGAACTTTTCCAGATTACAGATAGATGATAACTAAATGCAACCTGTGATCCTTGATTAGATCCCATACTAGATGAAGGTCATTAGTGGGTGAAAACACTGAGATGAGATAATAGCATTGTGGCAAAGTTAATTTCCCGATGTTGATAATTCTAGTGTGTTTATGTCAGAGAATGTCCTTGGATTAAGGAATTATTTACTAAGGTATTTAAATGTAAATGATGATGATGTCATCAAATTTCAAACCTTTTAATTAAAAATTCTATCTACCTCTCTATCCATTTGTCAACTGAGAGAATGAATAATAAAGAAAATGTGGTAAAATATTAATATTTCGGAAATTTGGATTAAAGGTATACAAGAATTCTTTGTATTATTATTACAACGTTTTTGTAAGTCAGAAATTATTTTGAAATATAAAGTTAAAATATTTTACAAGTTACATAGACATGTTTAATTTGCATTTTTTGTGAGTGAGGAGGGTTTTAATGTTCAATTAGCTTTGAGTCTTATATGCAAAGTTTTCAATGTTCAAACCTTTATATTTCTGCACAGTAAAATCTATCAGTTTTTTCTTTGATTCTGCCACGTATCTGTGTTTAGATTATTTTGCGTGATTAGTTAAATTTATATTTTCTTTATAAATACTTAAATTTTTAATTTAATTTTGTGCAATGGTGATATATTCATAAGGTTTTAAAAAATCAACAAAATAAAAAGGCACACAAGTACAAAATTTCATTCCATTTCTTTCCCCATATGGAAGTTTCCCCTTTCCCATGTCCCCGCTGGATAAGCGGTTTTCTGTTTCCTGTATTTTTTGGAGTTTAATGAAACACGAGCATAATATACATGCTTTCATTTATCTCTACCTTTTGTACGAACAATAACATAGTAAGTAAACAGATCTGAAACTTGCTTTATTTGCCTAATATATCTTGGAGATTTTTGTATATTAGTACAAGGAAAACTTCCTTCTGTTTTTCTTACAGTTTTGTGGCATTCATTGAATGGACGTACCATAATTTCCTTAAGTAGTCTTCTACTGAAAGATATTTGGATTGTTTCCAAATAGTGTTACAGTGAATAACCTTGATTCAAATATATGCTTCTAAACTAGGATCTATCTCCAGAAATGAAACTGCTGGATTATATGTATGCATGTTTAATTTGATAGATATTATCAAATTACCCTTTTTAGCAGTTGTATCTATTTGTATTCTCACCTACAATTCTCTCTTTCCTGTAAAACATTTTATTAAATTTGGGATTTTGCTTATATGATAGTTGAAAAAATGGGAGATAAATAATTTTAATTTAAATTTCCCTTATTTTAAGTGAAGTTGAACATCTTTTCATATATTTAAAGTCCATTTGCATTTTCTGTAAACTTTTCCTATCATTTTCCCATATTTACATTATGGTTCTTTTTATTATGTTCCAAGACCTAATTATATACATATAAATTTGTCCTTTCTGATAGGAATTGTGGACTTTCCCTCTGGTTTGTCCTTGGCTTTCTGGCCTTGTTTGTTGCATCTCTCTGATACACAGCGGTCTTTGGATTATGTAGTTAGTCATCATCATGTTCCTTTATGTCTTCTAGAA